TTCCAGAGAAAATTCACTAATTTAGTACCTTCTAATTCATCTACCAAATAAAAGAAAGAGTACTTCATAAAAAAAAACAAAGAATCAACAAAATTATGAACAAATCTATCCAATATTTTAAATTCAACATAGAAGAGTTTAACTTTCCCAACTCAAAAACAAATCTGATAGGATTTGTAAAATTAACTCCAAAAAAAAGTTTAAAAAAATCAGGAGTATGAAAACAAAATATAGAAGAGGAAAGGGAAAACAAGTTTGCTCCTTTATCTACCGAGTTCAATTTCATGATCATCTTCACCATTAATAATGTAAAAGAAAAGACAGAAGAGAAGAGGGAAAAAAGAAAAAAGAAAAGAGAAGATGAGTGGAGCTTGTAGAGGGACTCCTAGAGTTGAAGATTCTTAAAAAAGAAGAGAATTGAGAGTTTCTTTAGTTTTTAGTTGAATTAGTCATTTTGTTTTGAAGTTTGGCCAATTAAGGGATTTTCTTTTAATTTGAGAAAAAACGGCCCATCAACCAACTTAATTGTAGTAGCACACCATTAGTTGTGGTTGTTAGGTTTGATAGAACCCAAAAAAAATTTAGCGGCCTATAAAAGAAAAGCCCATGTCCCAAGTCAAAATTCATAAACCAGACTTGACCGTTTTAACCGATTGATTCTGATTCGCTAATTTTGATTGGTTTTGACTTTTTTTTTTTTTAACTTTTTGAGTTTGTCATAAAATCGGAACAGTATCATGACTAGTTTGCGATTCGACCAATCGAACCGGTCGATCCATCCGGTCCAATTCTTAAAATATTGACATTTTGCCCTTCCATAGAATTTCTAACTACAAACTATTATATGGTCAAAAAGAAAAATGCAAATGGTGTTATAGTCAAAATTTAAGGTGTAAACTAAGAAACAACACTTGTAAATAGTGTTGCAAAAAATTAGTTCATCATTTTTCATTCATCAATTCCCCTCTTATAAAGATACAATAACAAACAAAACACAAATATTTCCTAAATAAATATTAACAAGATACTAGAAAATCATAGATATTCAAACTAGTCTTTTTTTTTTCAGAGACGATAAATCTAATCTATCCTACACTAAGGGGGAGGGGGCGGACCTAAGGAGGCCCATGAATAATTCGGAGGGGATTGAACCACCACCGGATCACACGGGTGCACAGCACACTCGTCTGGATTTTTTTGAAACAAGCCACTTAAATATGACAAACCTTGCCTCCCACCCCACCAACTAAGTGGTGGCCACCAGCCCAAAGGCTGGCTAATTTCTCAAAATATACATTAAAAAAAAAACAATCCGTCAAATGTAGCTCTGACAGGGGTATTTCTCAAACTATACCATCAGCACGGCAGCAAAATAAATTTTTTAAATCATTCCGGCACAATTTTTTTTTTTTTGAAAAAAGTCAGCCGCCTGTCCGCTACCGTGCCCAGTCAACACGGCAGGGAGACAGGCGGTCAAAAAAAAAAAAAAAAAGGAGCCAGGCTGTGGTAGATGAAAACTTGCAATACATTGTGTTGTTGTGCAGTTAGTTGCTGTAACTACTGCTGCGCCTAGTGGGGTTACAGGAGGAGAGCAAGAAAGACTTTGCATTATTCATCTACTGGTGATTAATTCCTACACATTTATATGTCTTCCCTTAATTAGCTTGCAATTTTTTCAGGGATATCTACAATAGTATCGGGTCTGTTTGGATTCAGCATTTTTTGAAAAATAATTTTTTCATTTACAATACTACAGTAATATACAAACAAAAAAAACTCCAAAAACACTATATCCAAACAATATATCAAAAACAACTCCAAATATACAAAAAATATATTAATATATATATTTATATATAAATATCATATATAAAAATATATAGTTTGTTTAAAATATATTTATATATATTTATAAATATATTTACATATATATATGTAAATATAAATATATTTATTTACATATATTTATATAATTTTATAAATATATTTATTTCAAAAAAATAAAATTAATAAAATATATATACAAAAAATAAAATTAATAAAAAATATATACAAAAAATAAATATATAAATATATATAAATATAAATATTTTGTTTAAAATATATTTATATACATATTTATGTAAATATATATATTTATATAAATTTATAAATATACTTATTTCAATTTTGTTTTATAATATGTATATTGATATGTATATTTCAATTATGTATATTATATATATTATATCAATTGAAATAAATATATATATTTATATATAAATATAAATATTTTGTTTAAAATACTTTGTCTGCTTAAAGGACAGGGTTCCAGACTTCCATTTCCTCCCTCGATCCATGTCCGCTAGAATCTTGTTGATTTTATAGACCGAATTAACCTCTCAAAAAAAGTGCATGTGATGTTATTAAGTGCCATTCTTGTATGGACCCTTCCCTAGTCTCATGGATTAGCAAGGCTGGTGGTTCAAACTAGTCAAAAGACCATAAATATATATAGAACATTTCTAACAAGTAGCTGTCAGCACTAAATTCAACCCCTTCACCTATCTATGTTCCTCTGGCATCTCCTGATCTTACTCCTTGTCCTGTCTCTGTAGTTTATCCTATGCCTTCCGCCAGGAAGCAGTCAAAGAAATGGAAAGCCATCTATTATTGGGGTCCTATTATCATTCCGCGGGCTCTCGTATTTGCTTATTTGGTTTGTCATTCTTCTGCAAACATTTCTGGGGCACTTAAATTTGCTTGTTTGGATTGTCATTTTTTTCCAAAATTTTTTGTTACATTTTTTATGAACACATTTTCAAATTATATTTTTACTTCACGTTACATCAAATCGTTACAGTACATTTTTCTGGAATTTCAATCAGGCCAGTCATATGCTTTACATACTAAGTTCTGTGGTTCAGTGAAAGTTGCAGAATGGGCAAGAAATTGCAGTAAAAAGATTGAACCATGTGTCCGGATAAGGGATGGAGCAATTCAAGAATGTAAGTTACACTGATCGCAAAGCTTCAACATCGAAATCTGGCAAGACTTCTTGGCTATTGCATCCCAAGAATGAAATCTGGATAATGATTTAAATCCCAAGATTTCTGATTTCAGGATTGCTAGAATTTTTGGAGACAATGAATCGTGTGCAGATACAAGGAAAATCGATGGTACATGGCAAGGAATAATAATTCAGCATTTCGTTTTTTTCATCTATGAAGGAATATGAAAATTTCTAAATTAACCTTGCTTTGATACAAATTTTGGTTGGTACTTCAAGCTTCTGTGGCAGTCAACTCACCTAAACGAGTTGGTTGTCAAATTACTTCTAAATAAAACAATGTTTGATTACTTGAATAATTAGTCATCAAATTCAAATCCAAAACGAATCCACAAAAGAATTGGGAATGATTACCACACCTTTCTCTATCTGCAATCACCACTCATAAGGGGTGCCTCTCCTTGTCCTGTCCTATTCCTATCTTAAAGACTAAAATTTGTCCTAACCCCAAACTAGCTGAAACGAAGCAAGCAAACATAAGCCTGGCCGAGGAGTAATCATCGGCCCTGTACATCTGAAATTGTGACCGAGTTCACAGAAGAAGATTCTGGATTTTGAGGTAACTCGGTATTGTTAAGAGTCATAATTTCAGCAAAAGCTGGTCGCTTAGGAGTGGCAAGAACCATTGATTCCTTGAGGAGCATAGATACCACATCTGACATTGTTGGCCTATCTGCTGCATTTTCTTGCACACACAATAAACCAACGTGAACATATTGTAGTGCTTCCCTTGTTGAGATCGTTTCATCCAAACAAGAATCTGTGATTTCTAAAATTCTTCCTTCTGTCCATAGATCCCACACCTGAAATGACAAATGATCATTCCCAAATTAGTGGATAGAAGGAAATGTATACAACTAAAACAATGCATAGATAACTTACATGTCCTATTAAGTTTAGGTGACGATCCGAATCATAGAAGGAAGTGTTCTTCTTTCCACTTATGATCTCAAGAATCATGACTCCAAAGCTAAATACATCAGACTTCTCTGAGAAAATCCCATCCATGGCATATTCAGGAGACATATACCCACTTTTTTCAAGCAACAAAAACAATAATACCTTGTCAAAAAATGGATATTACTCAAAGCTGTACAACAATCAGAAAAATATTCCTTCAACTTACTATGTCCCTACAATGTTCTTTGTGCTTCCGCGCATTTCATTCTCTCCAAAAATTCTGGCAGTTCCAAAATCCGAAATTTTGGGATTCAGGTCCGCATCCAATAAAACATTGCTCGTTTTCAGATCTCTATGGATGATTTTTAATCTAGAATACTTGTGGAGATACAAAAGCCCTTGAGCTACCCCTTCAATGATTTTCAACCTTCTTTTCCAATCCAATGTATCCCGCTTTGCTGCATCTTTAGACAAAGTAGACCCAATACTTTTATGGCATTCTGATAGTTGTCAAAATAATTTAGACAAGCAAAACCAAATGAAGGTAAATGGATCGCTGAAACTTACCAAAAAGTACCGAATCTAGACTGTTGTTCGGCAAGTACTCGTATATTAATAAACGCTCTTCTTTTTCAATGCAATAGCCCAAAAGTTTAACAAGATTCCGATGCTGCAGCTTTGAGATCACTTTGACTTCATTCTTGAATTGTTCAATTCCATGTCCTGACATTCTATTCAGTCTTTTAACTGCAATCTCTAGCCCATTAACCAGCTTACCCTGAATTCCATGTATCTACGTTAGAACTAAGCAAATAAATAGGGTCTTTAAACTTCAAAGTAAAAGTAAATTGTTTCGAGACATATTTAGTTTACCTTGTAGACAGGACCAAATCCTCCTTGGCCAAGTTTATTTTCCTCAGAGAAATGGTCTGTCGCAATATCTATGCTTGTAAAACTGAAGAAAAGTGATTCATCATCCCCTGTATCATTAGGCTCTGGACTTTCTGAACCCTGGTGTTCCCGGCGATAACCTAATATTCTCTTTCGGAGTTTACAACGCCAGAAAAGCAATCCAAGAGCTGCTAGAAAAGCGCCCGCACAAGCACCAATAACATAAAACTTCACCCTTGAATTCTTCGATTCCTTTCTTCCACCGGGAGGGCCAAAAGGAAATGAAGGAGAACCAGGGGAAGGCGCCAGAAGCAGCACGCTGCAGGCAGCAGGTTGTACTTCTCTGGCTCAACAGAGAAATCCCAAGTTTCATTCCAGATGATAGCCATGTATCATCAGCGGGATAATCAAAGCTTTGCCAAACAGTACGCCCAGATCTTGATGTCAGAACTAAGTTCCCATTATCAAGCAGAGTTGCTCTTGTCTTGCTGATCATAACTTTCTGTTTAGAATTCACAGTGAATACTGCAACATCCGAATTACCATTGCCATACACCTCTAGCCGCCCGCTTTCATTCATCGACATAGTTGAAATTCGAGGTCTGGATGATGCATCCAGATAATCATTGGCAGCCCAGATATTGACTGAATGATTCAAATACACGAATTGAATTACCAAGAATGAAGAAGAATGGTCGCTCAAGAATCGATAACGCTTGTTAGAGGACTCCAAGATCTCACCATTGTGTAATTTCAGAGATTCACTAATTCCTAGCGTATCCTTAGCTCCAGAAACTGCACATATTTTGGCAATAAAGCAAGCAATAATACAAAAAAATGTTACCAAGTGATTGTTTGATGTACTGACCATTCTTACTATTCCAAATTTCCAACAGGGCAATACTCACATCACTAAAGCTTCTTCATTTTCCTTTCTCTACATTCGAATCATCAACTAGGAGTTGAAAAGTCTTGCTTTTGGTGTAAAGAAACAAGACGAACCTGAAACTAAGGCAACTTGCACTTTTCTATTTTCGATTGGCTGAAGGAGGAGTCAGAGTTTGTTCAAAGGCAGGAACCAAGCCAATTACCTCGTTGTTTCCCCTTGAGATCGAAGTTTAGTAGAAGTAAAAAGCTTCCATCATCAGTCAATGATCGTCCGCAATAATGGAGAAACCAGACAAAAGGATAGGCTTTATCTTTGATTTTCCACCAAATTTTAAAGGTAAAAATGTGATGTGGCCGTCGCCCATTGCGGACTTGGTCGAGAAGCGGAGTTCGTAACTTAAGTTTGATCAGGCGGGGGCCCAGAATAGAATCAACATTCCTGAATTGTATTGGGGGCCTTGGTTTTGGATCAGTTTCTTGCCTAATAAACTGGGCTATTTTGATTGGGGAACTCTGGGCTCTCTAGCAAAGCCTTTCTCTAGCTTGGGAGTTGGGTTTTTCGACACATTGAAGTTAAATCCAACTCTGAGGTTGGTATTCATCCAATCCAGAATGCTTTTTGTGTACTTTTGACCGACAAAATGTATTTCTCTCATGTTTTCTGATCACATGCTCTAAAAACTTGCCATTGAAAGAAGGTTAGAGAACTCCTTCATTGGAGTTATCGTATTTTGTGTCGTTTTGTTTTTGGTAATAAAAAGTTTGGATGGTTCGAATTTAATCACCACCACAATGGCATAGTAAGAAGGCTAGAGAACTATTCTATTGGAGTTGGCATTGTATTTTGTGTCTTTTTTTTTTGTTTATAATAAAAAGTTTGGATGAATTTGATTTTCATCACTACTATGAGTCAAGGTATGCCTTCAAAATCACAAATCGCTAATCGAAGTTCTTACAAATCATCTATAACACAATTTTTACATTGGTAGTAGCATTCAAATATACGACCTTTTGTGTGGAAATATTACGTTCTTATCAACTAAGTTAACTTGTGTTAACTATGTTGCGTTGTTAGTCACAAGAAAGTAATATTTGTGTTGATCTTTCGAAAAAAATGATCTCGAATTTGCATTTAGGGTTACATTACTTGTTGATGATAATGATCCAGTTAAATCTCTGAATCTCTTTTAGCTGTGGACTTGATGGGGCTTGAATCATCTTTAATTAGTGTTTAGTGGCCTTTATGTCTCATTTTGGCCACCCGGAAAAAAAAAAAAGGGAAGCTAGAGAACGAAAAATATATATTACCAAACAAAAAACTGCGACTTTGCAATGATATCCAGAACAGATATATCAATCTGTAATTTTACTCTGGTCTCCATTCTATCGATCCAAAAAAAAAGAAAAAAGAAAAAGAAAGAAGGTAAAAAGCTCAAGTGAATGACATATATATATATATATATATATATATATATATATATTCACATTGTAGTCCATAGTCCGCTGTCAATATTCAAACTTTTACACCACTTTATCCCAATCATCAAGGTGCAAATGGCGGGGAAGATCATGGTTTACTTTAAGAAATTATCCAGACTGTCTGTTTTGTCTTTGCATAGAATTTTTTAACTTAAAAAGGGCTTATATGGTCAGAAAGGAAAAAGAGACCTGGAGTAGCATTTTCTTCAGCTGTTAATTGCGTGTAGCTAAATAAGAAAATGTAAGTGGCTGTTCAGGACTAGCTACTAATATTTGGGAAAGGCATCATGCGCTCCAACTGTTCAAGTAGACGAAGAAATTTGGATACATTATTTACTTTTGAATTGCTCTGTAGGACACTGATAATTGATTATGCATATTAATCAAGACCACCTTTCTTCTAGAGTGAACTGTCGGCAGAATTAAAATATAGGTGGTTTATTGTATCTACTCATTCTGACTCTGACCAAACCTAATGTTTCTTTTACCATTGTGAGCAAGGAAACTGGAAAGAATCTAAGCCACCTCCGCTTCAGAGTAGTAGTTTTACTTTAATTAACTGCGACAAGATTTAGGACATTGGGCAATGAAGTTTAAGTTCCCTCGTAAGGATACCGATTCCAATGAAGATGTCAAGATTGGTTAGACATTGCAGCAATTTTGCAATCACTTTCTGTTTCATCGCTTATTACCTGTCATGTATTTCTGCTTCTCAGGTTAAAAATACACTAGGAGTAAACGAGTCCTTTGTTCTGTATTATGGAGACTTCTTGGAGTCCTCCAACCAGCGCTTTCGCCTCACCATCATCAGTCCCGCGAACTGGACATATTTCCTGGCCATCCAATACGTATACATGAATCAACCATTCAACATCTGGGCTGCCAACAACTACCAAACACCAGCTCGAAAACAGCCTGCATATTTGATCATGAATGCAGATGGAAGGCTAGGCGTAGATGACTCCTTTAATAATTTGCTCTTCGTTGTAAATGGTGAACAATCTGCCATGATCAACAGCACCACCGCAGCTCTTCTCGACAACGGCAACCTTGTTTTGAGAGCACCGGGGGGGATTACTGTTTGGCAAAGTTTTGATTATCCTTCTAATACATGGCTGCAAGGCATGAGAATTGGGATTTTCGACTCGAACATGAGAATTCCGAGGCAAAGCATTCTGACTTCCCTGTCAACATTTGATGAACCGAATTCCACATTAGCCGTTGATCACAGTAGCACAAAAGAACTGATCGTCATGCAGGATGGGGTGGTTTATTGGCGAAGTGGGATATGGGATGGCCTTAAATTTAGCTTCCTTGACTTCTTTGCTAGATTTGGTGTTACTTTTAGTTATTTTTCTGATGCGAACGAGAGCTTTTTCACATGGAATAGTAGTACTGATCCCTATGCCTTATTGTGGTTTAGCACAACCGGGAATATATGACAGGTGTCGAGCCTGTGCAATAATAAATATCTACTCGAGAAAAAATAAATTTTCTGTGTATAGTAGTGAGTAGGGTCGAATCCACAGGGACTGGGAAAAATTTGATTCCTTTCAAGTTCGGGACACGGGGGATTTTTATCAGAAATAAACTAAAAATAATTAAACAATTTAACTAAAAATAATTAAATAATTTAACCAAAAATAAATAATTAATTAATACAATTGTAAATAACAATTAAATAAATGATAAATAAATTCTAGCCAAGGATACAACTACGCAGACACAGTCCATTCATCTGATAATTGATGCAAAGAAGGTTCACTTAATTTAATTAATAGGCTAGTTATAGTCACCGATAAACTCTAATGACCAGCTTTTCCTTAATTTATTGATAACCAAGGTACGACCGTTGATTACCCCTAACCAGGAAATACTCCTAGGTACGACCGTAGGAATTAATTTCCTAATTGCATTAAAAACTAGAAAAGCCTAACCCAAATTAATAACACGCTACGAGGGTTATTTAAATCAGATTGCATGTCCTCCTAGTATGTGAAAATACTAGTTGTCACTAATATTAACCAACTAAACAATTACGGATTTAATTGATTAATTTGACAAGAGATTAATAAGTCAAATTGCACATCGGGCCCTTGATATCCAATTAACAAAATAATCCCATGGAAATTAAAATAGAAAACATGCAAATATTAATAAATTAAGGAACACGTAAAATTAATTAGATCTCACAGATATTTGGGACTGCGTCTTCGCGTTGATCCTTGACTAGAGGAGAAAATTAGCCACGCCTCATACGAAAATCTTCACACAATTCAATTGAATTTAAAGACATCATCTTTCTTCGATAATTGAGAGAGTGAATAACAAAGCTCTCAGAAGAAAATAAGAAAATTGCACAATAGAATTCAACAAACCAAAACAACTCCCTATTCTCTCCTCTGGAACATCCCTCGGAGAGAAAAACTACAAACTCCTCTATCCTCCTACGGAGCTTAATTTTGAAAGAAAACTACAACTCACTAGCCTCTTGTCTTCTGCCATCGTTCGATATATATAAGGCAAGTCTTAGTCTTCATAGCTTTTTCATAGTCTTTTCTCCTTGAGCCCACTACTCTACGTAGGGAGCAATTGGAAAAACTACAATCATCAAAGCCAACATCTTGGCTAATGAGTACATCTCCCACCATAAGGACAGACTTTCTACGTGGTCCCCGTTAGATAATGAAAGAAAACATCATTCCAATTAATTCCAGCACAATCATCAATTCCTCTGCAATTATCAAAACGGAGGAGTCCACTATAATCATCAATTCCAGCACAAATACACCCGTGGAACCTAGCTTGTATGTTCTTTAGAAACTTCCCACGTGTGGAGTATTTGTTGTAAGAAAATCTCTCTTTTCTGCTCCACTTCCTGAAATTGAGTCCAGATGCCAAATATAAGTATATGTTGACAATTAAAATAATATTTGGCATGGAAACAGGGAAAAATTAATAATAAAATTACTAACAATTAACACCTTATCAATTTCCCCCACACTTAAATCATGCTTGTCCTCAAGCATGGGAACAACTAAATTCAACAATGGCTAACTCTCATTTCATTTACTGCCAAGCTACGCTTATCCCAAAATCAAGTTTTAGTGGCTAAGTGTCAAGACATATTTCTCCCGGTTAGCTCCTGAAATCATAGACTCGTCCAATTCATAGCTAACTCGTCTAAGAAATCAAAATATTAAACTAGCAAAAGTTAGCAATTGGGTCAACTGAAAATCAAAATCTCAACATTGAAGAACAAGGATCGGCAGGCCAACATGATCATAAGCTTACTTATTATTTTCTTTTCTTTTCTTTTCTTTTCTTTTTTTTTTTCACAAAATGCTCAGTCCCAAGCTATTCAAGTCTTTTGACGTGAATTCTGACATTTTTAGATGAAAGAGCCCAGTTACTCAACTTTTCACAGCTTCAGGACTAACTACTCATAGATATCGCCACTTTTTGACGCGAGAGTCGACACTTGTGGTGAAAACTCCCGGTTACTGGGTGACGGCACTAGCGGAGTAGAGTCATTTATTAACCATAATTAAAGCATCAGAATACCATATAATTAAAGATCATGACCCACGTCATCTCCTAATATGGAGAACTAAGATCAACAATTGCCCAATTCACACAACAATTGCTAGTAAAATATTTATATTGCCTAAACAATTTAACCACAATTTGCACCAAGTCATTAAACTCATAATATTCACCAAGATAATATGCTTTTACTTGCCATCTAAACAAAATTCATAGGATAAATCACAACCAGCAATAGAAGAGTGAGTTGCCACATTTATTCATCAAGACGACAATAAGAAAAGCAACAATTTAAAGAAACTCCAATCAAATCCAAATCCCCCCACACTTAAAGTACACATTGCCCTCAATGTGATAATTAATTAGTAAAAATAAGAAGATGGACAACGAAACTCCCCTGAAGCTGGTGCCAGCTATTAGCACCTGTAGTTGGAGGAGGCGGAGCGGAGGTCAAAGGGTCGGGATCGTGGTTTCACCATTCTTTCCAAATTGCATTCCGTACCACAATAGACAACAGTTGCTAACGAATAATGGAAACAAGAAATTCAAAGCACTAACAAATGAAAAATCAATTCAATGAACAAAATGCACACTGCATTCACTCACAAGTTATACAGATATCCCAACACTTATAACAAATGCAATCAATAAACACTCGTGGTTCCAAACTTAGCCAAATGTAATAATAATGCACCTCATAATCACCCCAATCAATGTAGTAATTGAAATGCAAACAGAAAAAAAAAGAAAAAAAAAAAGTTCTCATATAAGGCAGTTGAAGGCAATCTACTTCAATAAGTAAATATAAGTGTTAAAGGCACCTCCCAATTGAACAAACAACTGTAGCAAATTACCCACAGTTAAACACAAAGTACAGCAGATTAAACACAATTCGACCTAAAATATATATATATAATGATTAACGATTGGACATTCAATTCTAAAAATCACACGACTAACCACAAGTCAATCTACTAAATAAATAAAAATCAAGCAAAGTAAAAAGAAACAAGCAAAGTAACACAGAAGTACCCAACTAAGGAGGAATAGAAATGTCAGGTAGTCCAAACACGCAAAATTTTCAAAAACGTATTGTAATAAAAATAATAAAAACATACTGCAATAATAAAATAAGAAAATAAAAAATAATAATAGAAAAAGATTGAGGCAGGCGCGTGCATACGAAGCCAGTGGTGCGATGAAGGTGGTGGCTATGGGAGAGAAGAGTTTGCGGCAGCTGGATCTGGTGGTGCGCGGCTTTCGGGGCTTCAGGCGGATCTTGGAGGCGGTGGCTATGGCAAGGGTGAAGGAGGTCAGATGAGCTGGTGGTCACCCTTGACGAGGAGAGCCGAGGCAGCGGCGAGAAGAGCTGGGTGGGCGGCGGTTAGAGCTGGGGTGGGCGGCGGTGGGGTGAGGTTCGCAGCCGAAGAAGAAAGAAAAAGAAAGAAAGAAAGAAAGAAGAAAAGAAAGAAAGAAAGAAGAAAAAGAAAAGAGAAGAGGAAATTTTTTTTTTTTATTTAATTTTTTTTTTATATTTAATTTTTTATATTTTTTTGTAGAAAGAAAATAATCTTTTCTTTTTCTGTTAAAGATAGGAATAATAAGAATAATAATAATAATACTCATAAGAATAGGAATAGTAATAATAATAATAATAATAATAATAAAAGTTGGTTTTTTTTTTTTTATTGCAAAAACATGGTTTGGGTCGTCCAACACCGCGTGGGCACGCCAAGATTAGTCTTCGTCCTCTGGTCTCAGAAAACTCAAACACCGCGCGGGCACGCCAAGATTGGTTTTCGTCCTCTGGTCTCAGAAAACTCAAACACCGCGCGGGCACGCCAAGATTTCACTTCCTGATTGCAGTGAAAGAAATATTAATACAGATACTACCCAACGAGTAAATGACTTGGTGCAAAAGAAGAACAACTAGAAATAACAAGACAACTAAAAATAACAAGACTAATATTCGGGTTGCCTCCCAAACTAGCGCCTTTCTTTAGTGTCTTTGGCTAGACATAACCCGTAATTTGCTTAAACTAAGCAAATTGGGTCCTCCAAATGCATCATCTCTACCCGCTCAACTGGAAATCCTTCATAATACGGCTTGAGACGGTGACCATTCACCACAAATTTCTTCTCCGTCTTCAAAC